AGTAATTACCAGTGCTTTACAATACTTGTGTGGGTCGCGGACTAGAAACAGCCGCATCGCTGTCCACATCAAGTACAAATTAATTTACAACTATTCTCCGGTAGAATTATTATTCTGTCGACAAATTTCAACTTACTTAAAATTAACTATATTATTAGTTTTGTGTTAATAAACATATATCAATAATTAACAACATTTTGTGTTAAACTTCTTACCCTACCTTCACTTCAACCACCATCCTCCGATTCATTGCGACGACGGGTACGTGCATTCGTCGTTAAAGAAGTGTGCAGTAACTAATCAAGTGAGAGCGACGGGTTACTACAATTGTATTCAAATTTATCACAATCCATTACAAATATCCAGGGCCGGACTGGCCCAGTGGTCTACAGTCCTAGAGGACAACGGGCCTCTGTCTTTGGCTGGGTTTTGGACCGGTGCCTATTGTTAGTACAATTATATCGGTAGGTACATAAGTAAATATTAAAAGTATATTGTTTCGAAGGCAGATGAAAAATATTGAAAATCCTTAGTCACAATTTTTTTTTTTATAAGCATTTAAAGATCGAATTTTGACAAAATTTATCAAATTTAAAATTCAATAATTATTTTGTAGTTAAAAATGTATAAAATGTTCAACTTTTATATCTAATGATTGAAAATTTAAAACAAGATTTAATTTCACGTAAGTAGTTAATTCTGTTAACAAAAAATATAAAAAATACAGGACACTTTATTTTGATAGTCATTTTAAGTTCAAATCTGGACGAATTACATAATAAATAACCTAGAATAACTATTTTAGTTATTTTTTTGTTAAAAATTATAAAATGTTAAACTTTTATAGCTAAGGATTGAAAATAGGTAAATAGGTAAATATATAAATTATTTTATTCACAATAATAATATCATCGAAATATATACTTAGTAATCATAGGCTGACTGACCGTTTTCGCTCAGAATCGTTTTTCTTATACAATGATATTATATCATTGAATTCAAATTTAACACCATCCATTACAGCGACCAAGTGACGTCCGCAGGATTTTTCAATGGGTGGGGGGGGGGGGGGGTGCTTGAAAATTAGTTACAAATTTATTTTTATTTTGTCCAGTCTAATAATTTCATACGTTTATTTGAAGTATTTTAAAATGTTTGTAACTTTTTAACTTTTGTGGTAGAAAAAATACTCTTGTCATAAGCTTCGATGCCCAGTGTAGGGGAAGATGGGGGAATGGCGGCCACCTAAGCGGGATTTAACCACAGTTAATTTGTAGTTCAAAACTTCTAAAATATTAAAATATATGTATAGCTAAGACTAGACAATTTAATAAAAGGTCTTTCATACAAGTAGTTCATACTTTTACCGAAAAATTACAGATTACACAACCTAAATAGTAAATATAAAAAAACTCAAATGGTTCCAGTTTCTATGACGAATAAATCATAAATGATTCTCAGATGACTCTCTTTTATAATATATCATTAGGTATATTATTTGGGGGCAAAAAAAAATGTTCGTGGCTAAGCCCCCCTTCATCCCCCAAATAATTACGCCTATCACCAGAGAGTAGGGCCGCTATTATATTTGGGATTATGGGCCAGACCCTACCCAGTCCGGCACTGCGATATACCCACCTTTGTTGAAATATGTTTGAATTCATACTTGGAATACTTCTATACAGCCTATACACAATGTTGAGATTAAAACTGCCCGTTTCCACCAAAAGTGTATCTTTCCCTTTTCCACCAATATACGTTTTCACCAAATAAAATAAAAAAATTAAAAACAATATAATATTTATTATGGTATAATTGTAAATGGTCAGATATAAAAATTTGAAAAAAAAAATATAAAAATTATTATCATGTTCATGGTTATGTATAATTGATTGATCCGATAATACTTCATAATATTGTTATCAGTAGGTATACACTATTTCGAAACAACTTTTTTTAATACATCGCCAACTAATATTTTCATTAGTTTTGTTTACTGATCCAATAAAAAATTTAAAACTGTCTAGTATTAGTGTTTTGTTTCCACGTTTAATTTCAATCACTTTAGCCATCACAGAATTATAAACTAAAAAAATTACATTTTATTTTAACACACACGCAGTTGTAACTCACTATTTAAACTTTGCAACCTTTTCACTTGTTCGTAAAATATTGTTCCGTTAGATAAAGAATAGTCACACAGTTAATAGGTGCAGGTGTCAGGTCTTTCTTGTACCATAACCAGTCGCACACAGAACATGCATATCCAAAATTATTGTCCAAAAACTTCTCTTTAAAATGGCGGTGAGCTTCAGCATGTTGCAATACTGGATCATATACGACAGTTGGGATTGTTGGTCCCCTCAGAAATGGTTCTTGTTCTTGATCTTTTTTTAGCAGAGTGTAGAGACTCGTTTTTCTTTCGAGCACGATATTCTCGCATGTACGCAGCATCTGCAGTTTTCCTTTTTCTTACTTCTTCAGAAGTCCGTTTTTGTCGGAATTCTCTCTGGAGCATTGCGCTGTCTTTTTTTTTGTCTCACGGTTCGTTTTTTTGCTGTTGATGATTATCCTCGGACTCTCTCTGGGCTTGGACATCATCAAAGTATTCTTCGCCCGGGGAGTTCGGAGGAATCACACTCGTTGACGGGTATATCACTTCAGATAATTCTTCATCAACTTCGTGAGCAGACATTGCAAAGTGTGGAGACTGAATTTCTTGATTATGAAATTAGATAAAATTTTATTATTTAATGTATTAATGTAAATTCAACATAAATAACATGTTTTAAAATAATGGTTTCTGTTGAAAGTGAAGCTTGACGGACTAACGATGTTAGCATTAATATAATAAGTAATAACACGACAATATGATTATGTATAAGTATAATATATAATAACGTACAACTGGACAATTAAACTGTGACAGTACACACACATCGTATACACTCTGTACAACGACGCCTGTGCAAGTGAATATTACATACATCAAAGGCCCTATATACAGTATGTCCCAAAAGTCCCGTATCACCCTTAATATCTCCATGTAAAATCACTATATTTAAACGCGGTTTTTTTTACAGTACTAAGTATGAAAATTCTGATTGAATGGCATAAAATTCATTTATTTTTTTTCTTTGAATTCAAAAATTTTCAAAAAATTTTTTTACGCATTTAAGAATTTAAAATTTTTAAGATAGCCATTTTGTTGAGCATATTTTTTAAAACAGTTCAAAAAAAAAAATACTAAAATTAAATATAAATTGACCAAGTTAGAGCAAGTTATGTTTTTGAATAATTGTAGTAAAAAAATAAATTAGGAATGCAAAAGTATTGTCGTGTGCTGAAATTAGATATTCCATTATTGAAATGTGAAACAATAATTTATTTTTTTACTACAATTATTCAAAAACATAACTTGCTCTAACTTGGTCAAATTTTATTTAATTTTAGTATTTTTTTTTTTTGAACTGTTTTAAAAATATGCTCAACAAAATGGCTATCTTAAAAATTTTAAATTCTTAAATGCGTAAAAAATTTTTTTGAAAATTTTTGAATTCAAAGAAAAAAATAAATGAATTTTATGCCATTCAATCAGAATTTTCATACTTAGTACTGTAAAAAAAACCGCGTTTAAATATAGTGATTTTACATGGAGATATTAAGGGTGATACGGGACTTTTGGGACATACTGTATATGCACGACCGAGGTCATGTTACACCCGTGAAGAGTGCGAGTCTTATGCTCGTACATAACTAGTTACTATATTGTACACACGTGTCAAGGCTGACTACATGAACTACATATTAATTGTATATTTCAACAGTTTCTCATAAATTTGGTGTTTTGGAGTTACGCCGTTTGCTAAATAGGCTAACGATATACTTATACATGATTCCGGCTTTCTAACCTGAAAACCAATAGCAAAACTTGAATTTTATTGTGTATTATACAGCTGCAATTCTATGGATAGTTTATATTCAAAAAAAGAAATAATAATATTTTGATTTTTTTAGCATTAACGTTGTTTTAAAAATTGAAATTATTAATTAAATTAAATTAAAAGTAATTACCTTTTCAATTGATGAACCACAGTAATGTTTGAGTTACTCAATACCTCGTAATATATTAATACCTATATAGTAAAACCTCGTACAGACACGACGACGACGCACAAAACGAGTCCGCGCGAGCAGTCGTAGTGTATAATAATACTATTATACGATACAAACACGGTTTCGCGCGTATACGTAAACGAGAATAATAAATAATATTAATAATAATAATGAATCGGCCGACGACTGTACCAGAGCGCGTTCGCACCTACCAGACTCGTGTTTAGCGTGCGACTACCCCGGCACCACCTATTTTTAAATAAAAAAATGTTATATTGTTACCAAGTAAAAATAATCTAATTAAATACATTAAATAATTAAATTAGGTACTTATTTTTTATTAAAAAAATTTTAAAAAATATTTCATTTTTAAAATTACCAATGGACAATGTATTTTTATAATCTATATCCTACAATACCTAATACACTGTAAAACTGATATTAAATTTGTATTACTTAATTCTTAAATAAATATTTTGTAGAAACTTGAAGATAAGAAAACCGATTATGAAAAATGTGGAATAATTGTAAGGTTTAATGAAAATCCATTTGCTATACTAGTGGTCACTCCTATTATGCAAAGAGCTCATCAATTAGCTTTTTCTAAAGATATTGCTTTTGCAGACAGTACTGCGTAATGTGATACTCAGAGTCATTCTGTTACATTTATGCTAACATCATGTGGTATTGGAGCTATTCCTCTGGCCATGTTTATAACAAAAGGACAAACAGTTGATGACTATAAGACTGCATTTTCATTACTGAAAGATTCAGTTCCTAATAGTTTTTTTGGCCAAAGATTTCCAAAACATTTTATAATTGATGATAGCGAAGCAGAAAGAATTAAGGCCCCTTAATTGCAACTGATTATAATAGTGCTCACAATGCCCTATACTACTGCTATTGGCAAAACAAACACTATAAATAATAGTATAAGTGATGAAATTATACCTCTTAAGTATGAAAAATGGGTGAAATATATGAATAATTATTGGGCGAGGAAAGAATTATGGTGTCTAGCTTTTAGAGATGCTACTGTCCATGGTAATCAGACCAATAATTTTAGTGAAGTTAATGTATGGATTTTTAAAGACATAGTACTCTCTAGAAATAAGGCACATAATGCCATTGCACTGGTGGATTTTATTTGTTCTGGCCTTGAAGATTACTACTTAAGACGTTTAAGGACTTTTGTTAATGGTAGAAATGACACAGCTCGATTGCTTTTTGAAGATCAAATAAAAAGAGCTGTTAATATTAATAAAGATTCAATAGAAAAATTGCCTAACAATATACATATTTAAAGTACCATCATAGTCCGATTGTGGTTATTATGAAGTAGATGTTACTCATGGATTTTGTACTTGTTCCAAAGGAAACTTGGGAGCTTTTTGCAAGCATCAGGCAGCAGTATACCATCACTTTAACAGAGCCATGCCTAATTTACCAGCTATTACTGTCGATTCTCGCTATATGCTAGCTAAATTAGCTTTTGAAGAGAATGTACCTGAAATAGAATTTTATAAGCCACTTCATCTTGAAAAAAATAATTGTCAATCTAGTGAAGAAACAACAGAAATTGTTGAAGATAATGTATTATCATCTCCAATGAGAAATACTGTAGTTGAAACTGATGATCATCTTGATAATCATAATATTGATCAACAGTCGGATGAATATGTTAACCAGATTCAAGAATTAATTAAAACAAATTTTGAAAAATGTAAAAGTAATACTTCAGTTTCTGTACTCTCTAAATATTTAGATCGCTTAAGAAAGTTAAGTCGATTGCTACTTGGGAATCATTTTTGAGTACTGCTGGTAGTACTATATCACTAAGACATCGATCTCGTGCAACTATTCATGTACAGCCTACTACCATAAGTAGAAGAAAGAAAGCCAGGTGTTACAAGTGGTAGTAAACGTTTATTAGTAGGACGACCAGTGAAAACAGACAATAACAAAAGAAATGTAATAAAAAGAAAAAGAAATGTAACCGAAAATGTGAGGAAAAATGTCCCAAATGCCAAAGGTCATTGATTGCTATTACTAGTATCAACCTATTATGTATTTACTATTTTCATCAAATTTTATAAAGCATATTTTTTATTATTATTATTTACATATTTTATAATTACTATACTTAGGTACTTTATATAATTATTATAATTACTTTTTCTGTATTTTTTTGATATGTAAACATCTATGCTACTTTCTTGGGGAATCGAGCGTCAGGCGTAAGTCATGTAGATGTGACTGCTTGAGTGTGTGTGTGTGTCGTCGCCATAGCGCTAAAATCGCAGAACCAATAAACCAGGCGAGTTGCTTATCTATTATTTTCTTTGTTATTTTCATGAGTCTGGTAGGTGCGAACGCGCTCTGGTCGTCGGCCGATTCATTATTATTTATTATTCTCGTTTACGTATACGCGCGAAACCGTGTTTGTATCGTATAATATGTATTATACAAATTCCCACTCAAACCATGACATTATATTCCCCAATCAAAGTCGTACTACAGCTAAGATGTTTACACATCATTCGTGAGTACAATGGCATTCACATTTTCGTATCAATGATATGATATCATTGAATTCAAATTTAAAACAATCCATTATACAGTTACCAACTTGTAACCTACTGTGCAGCAGAGCGACATCCACTTACCCGCTTTTTTAAAAACTATTGGGTACGTCATAGTTTTTTTTTTGTCTGTGTATTTATATTTTTAATAATAAAAATAATACCAACATTTTTTTTTTAAAACATTCATTAATTTGCTCTAAAATATTATAATTACATAAAATGTAAAACTGCCAAGTTGAATTTTCCATTAAATTTATATTATTTGTAACATATAAGTAATATATATTACCCTAATTTCTAAAAATATTGTACCTTACTGTTAAATATTACATATGTCCTATGTTGTTAACTTCCAGTTAAATAACTATTATTAATCATTATAGAGGAGATAAATATTTATCTAAAGTCATTGAAATAATTGTCATATTTAATTTTAACTTCAGTGATAGGTCTTAAAAATATAAATCTACAGTAAGCAAAGTAAATGGATGAAAGTTGAATATATAGTAGGTATATAAAAAAATAAAAATATATTTTTCTCAGGTCAGAATCTAATAACTGAATTAAGTTTTTTAATGACTTAGCAGATTGGACAAGTGAAACTCATCTACTTACTCTAATATATTTATCATTTTTTTGTGTTTTTTAACTGTTTTTTAGTATTTAGTTTTGGTATTCTGTGTTCTAGCATCTCCCTTTTTAGTTATTCACAATAAACTTATTATTATTATTATTATTTTATTCATTATAAACTTTTATAAAACACAATAATAATTAGCAATTATTTTTCACTGTTTGACAACTAATTGTTCATAACATAATATGCTCTAAGCAGTAACTTTATTGAGACTTTATTAATTTGTTACTTTATTAGGTATAATACTACTGGTATAAAAAAATGTTGGTTTAACTAGGTATAGAATAATGTATTTATCATTTTTTGTACCTATGTCTCAAGTAAAACATATTATAATGCTAATATGAATACTAAATACTAAATACTAATACCATTTACATATATCTTGTTCAGAAAACATATTAGAACGAAATTTAACTAGTCTAGAATATAATATGATAAAATATGATAAGAAAATTAGATTTTTATATAGATAGTAGAAACGACCAATCAGAAGGCTAAAATGATAACCGCCGAGACCGACCCCAGAATGCTAATATGCACCCCGGCGCGGTGTTGGTACCAAACTGCACGGAGTAGTAGTACGAGTAGTAAATTCGACGGCGTCCGTGTGTGTTGCCAACACACCGTACGAATTGACACCCCACTCCGCCCGGCGGTCCCCTCTATGCGCGTGACGTCCGCGAACACCGTGCGCAATAGCCTCACACACATACACATACACACTCAAGCAGTCACATCTACATGAATTACGCCTGACGCTCGATTCCCCAAGAAGGTCGTACTACAAACCGATAGCATAGATGTTTACACATCAAAAACTCCTCTCGAACGAGAAGTGAATCATACAAAGATATAACATACCGCGTTTTAAACAACTCACGATAAAATGAGAGTAAGTATTAATTTATTAATAATTGTACTTACTTCTATTTTAATTCGTATTTAATCAATTTTTGGAAGCCACCAATTTATGGTGGCTCATAATAATAATAAAGAAAAGTAAAAATTAAAAACGGCACACCCGCCCGTACCTAGGCAGTACGAAAACATGGTCCCCTGGGCTGGTCGGTCGCATTTTACTATGTCCCCGGAAGCTTTAAACAATTTTGAATTATAAACGTCCTATAGAGAATTTTCCTGGCTTTCCGAATATATAAGTTTAATGCGTCGCCACCTTCCGGAACTTGGTCGGAAAAATTAAAAACGGCGCATGGGTACCTGCACGCGGCGGTACGAAAACATGGTCCCCTGGGCTGGTCGGTCGCATTAATATAAGGGCACATAATGATGTTAGTGAATTTCATGGCGCCATCTTGTGGTTGACGGTAATACAAATGTCGGGTGCCTTGAATATAATAAAACGCAACAAGGCATACAAGGCCTGTTATCACTAGACGTCCGAGAAAATAGTCCCCTAGCTATATCCCCCAACTTCACACCCGTTCGGTTTCGACATATTGTTTTTCAGTATAAGTAAAATATATTTGTTTAACTGTTCTGCATCTAATATAGAAAAATAACAATTTTGTATATTAAATCTTGGTGAATTAATCTAATCTTATGATACATTTACTATAATTTCCCATATTACATAAAAAATACATAATTTTCAAAACACAATAATTATATTTGCATGTCATATACCTAGTACATTAAATAATACTACATTCTATAGTTACCGTTTTGTAAAAAAGTATACATTTCATCAGCTACTTGATGCTCTTGTCCTTTGAATTCAACTATGAGGATCATGTTAAGAATGTAAGAACTAAGAATGTAAATTGTAATAGACAATAGTACTAATTAAAAGTCGAATACCTATAACACAGACACACAGTAGTTAAAACTTAAAAGTGTTAGCGCAGTGTCTAGGCTGTCTAGCTTAAGTCGACTTGAGTATTTGATTAACCGGAGCGGTATTTCGTATTTAGAGGGAAAATTGTTTTTGTTATCTGCATAGATAATAATCATTATCAGTGGAGTTAAAACAACCTACCTATTTTTCGGGGTCAAAGAGTTAACCCGGAGTCCAACAACTCTGCGTTACCGAACGGTAGTGGGGAGTTAACTCTGCGTTCCCGAACGACGTTGGGTAATTATTTTTTTTATAGTGTTAAGTAGAGTTGAGTTTTCGAACGCACCCCTGATGATGAGATTTTTTGTTATCGAAACTAAATCATGTGTGTTTTAGAACGCACATCAAAAGTATTTTTTTGGTGTTAATCGAGAATGGTAAAATCACAAACGGTTTAATCGATCGACTAATAGGTAAAGGGGGGAGGGCGGTCTGCGCTGCCGATAATAATAATCAATAATAAATAACAATAATCGGCGACCGCAGCGTTAGATAATTTCATTGTAAGGTAACGATTAACATGACAGAATAAGGAAATATAACGACGCCGAACGATAATACGATTACGATTAATGAGCTATTAAAAGAAATAGCCTTTTTTTTCTCGTCCGAATAATTACGTCCAGTAGTATGACGTTCGGAAGTTGGAGTTCTACTGTATTTATTATAATATGATACAGTATATTATTATTTAATATTTAGATGACACAAATCAATACTCTGATATTTACAACAAATTAGACTATATAATATATACTATTATTATATTGTAATGGGATTACGTAATATCATGTACCCGTAATATACCCATGTATCACGTACCCAAAAGTGTTTACGACTAAATACCACTTTTATTCGTGAGGTCCATATCAACGACTGTACACGTGCCGCTCACTTCAAAGGACGCCGCCACCATATATATAGGGGACAGCGAGACATCCTGAGTAGATGTATCCAGAGACGTGAACAACACACGACTCGCTTAGCCACCAGCCATCACCCATAATTACACGGAGATTAACAATTATAGAAAGAGCTACAATTCACTCAACTACACATTCAACACGACTGTTCTGCTCATTTTGTCTGGTTTAATAAAATACATTTGATTACTATACTAATTTGACTATTGTTATTTATAAAAGTACATCAGCTTTTGGATCCCTGAAGGGCCGTACGTAACACTGGCGCAGTCGAAGTAGGATTCCACAAAGGAGGCAACCGTCAAAGGCTACTGTCAACAACGAAGAATTGATCACTCTTCTGCGAAGACAACTCCAGGAGGAACCAACAAAAAAACAAATAAGTCACGTCGCAGTACCAACAAATCCATTAGCAGCATCATCAACATCGGCAACATGTCATCGTCAGCCATGAACGCAGCATTATTGCGACGGAATAGTTATTTAAATTTGTTACATAGACGTATGCAACATAATTAAGACATATTAAGATAAATCTAGGTAATTGATTATAAGTGTAATGGTGTAAACCGTTTAAATTTTATTGAGGGCATATTTTATTGATTATTATTGAAGATTTATTGAGGGCATATTGTTTATTTGAAGTTTTATTATTGAGGGCATGTTTTTATTGAAGTTATTATTGATTATTATTTATCGAGGGCATTTTTATTATTGAAGTATTATTGAACTTTATTGAATTTATTAGAGGGCATATTATTGAAGTTATTATTATATTTATAGGGCATTGTTGAATTATTATTGAGTTT